TGCTTCGGCTGGAACTGGCAGGTCTTTTTGAAATACGCCCTTCCATGTTTCCTAGCTTGCTAGACTTATCTGATAGAACACTGAAGGCAAGAAGATTCTTGCGCTTGCGGGTATAAGCATTTTCAGATTTTGCAAGATCCTTACAAGAGGAAGATGATTTGGCATCCACAAAGCTTGTGAAAGATTTGGATTTGCCGGTATAGAACTTGGAGATGCCACGCCTGCAGAGAGAGAGAAATCAAGGCATGCTGACTCATTAAACCATATGGCCTTAATATAATCTAGAAACAAAAGCCTACTATTACTATGGCAACAATTGCCAACTTATATGCTTGATATCTCCTTTTTTTTTTTTTTTCCAAGTGTCAATAGTTCATCTCTCTAGTCACTACCATTGCAATAAAATGTTCCAAAGTCTTTTTGAATCATTCCCAAAGTAAGTAGCATGATGCCCTTAACTCGGTGCATCAATGTCGTGGATGATGAAATGTTTCATGAACAATAATCCATGGTGTTCTACTTCATGCAAATCAAATGTACGTAATGATAATCAGCCTCATTCAGAAATGCAGACTTCATAAAATCTCTCAGAATCCTACCGAATAGACAGTTCTCTAAAAGGATGTAACATCAACAATATCTCAATTAATATAATTTATTACATGATGGTAAAAGAATGGATTACAATAACATATTATCTCAATACCACCATGACTGGACACAAATGCACCACAAAGTATGTAACGTCAACAATATGTCAATTAATATAATTCCTTACATGATGGTAAAAACATGGATAATAATAATATATTATCTCAATACCACCATGACTGGACACAAATGCACCACAACTGCTGCCCGTATGTGTATTGAACTACATTAGCATGGATCAGGTATCCATGCAACAGAATCACTTATCTATTGTTAACATCCTCACTGATATCTCAATTAACACAATCTGGTAAAATCAATCCTCAAAGTTGAACCTAATTTGTATGGCAAATGACTAGGTAGGGAAGTGAAATACAGAAATGAAACCTAAAATGCATTTTAGATACAGCACCATCACATTAAGATGCAGGAAAAAAGAATGTGGCGTGCAGCTGAAGAGCTAATCCAAATGAAATCCCTATACAATGATGAAGGGATGGACATGCCATCTATACCTATCTCTGAAGATCTAATCACTAGCACAATCCTTTGAGTGAAAAGATCTTCCTAGGTCATCTTTGAGAAATGTTCTTCAGATCAAAGATAATATTTTCCAATAATGTCTAGAGACAACAAACACAATAGATCCATTGTCCAAGTACAGGGAATATGTACTGCAGCAAAATGGAGTGGCATGGAACCTCAAATCCATGCTCTAATTTGGAATAGCATTAATCACCAGACCAAGATAATTAATTCAACGAATTAAGAGTGAAAGGGAAACTGGATTGGAAGGTGCGGAGAACACCCATCACAAGAAAACACAGGATTAGTCATTCAAAAAATCCATCATTTCATTGTCAATACTGTAAATATCTGACAAGGACATAATCTTATTTTCAGCTGGCAAAACTCATCGAACTTTCTAAAATAAAATATTATCTTGTTGTCCCATGATGTCAGTGATAAGATAAAACTAATTCTAACAAAGCCAACATTTATAATTTATTAAATATATTATGTCTTTTAAAAAACTAAGCTAAAACAAACTGAAAACTAAACTCCAAATTAGTATGCATCAGATAATAGTGAATTGATGATGTCTGACCTCTATCTCATAGTGTAAGATTACATGCAAACTATTCTAGCATCTCATGCTCTACAAACAAAAGTGTTATGGCAACATTTTGATTGGTTTACTATGTCAGTGACATTCTGCTCAGTAGATGTGGCGAAAATCATTTTAAAAACCTTAAATTTTGTCTGCATTATAATAAGATGAAGATTTAATCCTGTTGATAAAATGATGCCAAAACTCATCCAAGATTTTGTCTACCCAAAGTTAAATGCATCTCGTTCCAACTCATCCCAACATCAAAATGGTTTTCCGGTTATCAATCTCGATCACAGCTGATTAGCGAGCGATAGTAGGACCAAAAACTTTTGTCAAAAACAATAAAGATATGTAGAAGGCATTAAAAGGCTCTCCATTGCTCCAGAATCACAAATAAAAGCCCCTCTGGTCTCATATTATAACCCCAGACTTCGGGTGAGAATCCTTACTTTTATGTCTGTAGTAGGCTTGTATAGGAGACTTACGGTAACATTTGAAAAATCAACAGGATGTATGCATCGCACGTATTACAGAGTTCAATGCTAACTGTCTTCTAAGTAGAGATCTCAAAAGTCAACTCATACCAGGGGGATAGAAATAAGATACCAAATGAAATAGTAGCCCTTGAATTATCCAATGAAATTGGTCAAAGAAGAGTGAGATATCAGACACTAGTAACTGATATGGATATCTGCTGATTATAAAGAAATGGGCAATCTAAAAGCGTTGGATAGGCACAATTTCTGAAGGGCCCTAATTCACAAATCCAACTCATATCTGGGGAAATTTCAAGCAATATCAAGAAAAGAACAACTCAAACCCTAAAATATAATACATAACAAGCAATCATAACGATAATCGTAACAACGGCTAAACAAGTTCTAGAAATATTTGCTACATCAAGAACAAAAAGGCAGCACCATTATGTTTCTTGAAAACATTTCTCACAAACATTACCCGCGTTACATTTCACCCAAATGCACCAAGAAAGCAAGAACCTAATCCGAAGCATTCAAGAGAAGCTAGTCAACGTAGGAACTTTTGCATAGATGAAGAAGGATACCTCAAGGGCAGTGAGTCCTCGAGGGCGTCCATTGTCTCTAGTGGCCCCTTCAACCTGCTCTGGACCTCCGCCTCCCCGCCGTCCGACCCCGATCCACCGGCGGAGAGGTCGCTGTTCCTCCCGATGGACGAAGAGCTGCAGGAGTCCTCGCCGCCGTCCCCCGCCACCGCAAGCCTTGCCGCCGCCTCTGGCACCTCGTAGATTGGGAAGCAGGCGGGCCGCTGGAGAAGCCCCGACCGGCCAATGTCGCCCCGTTTCTCCAGTGCGATCGACATCCGTCCGATCGATATCAACTTTTCACCTTCACCGAAAATCCAAAGAACGCGACGGTTCTGATCTGTCGGCGATGCAGATGCTCCGATCACAGTTGCTCCTCTAAGAGGAAAAAGAGAAAATAGCCGAAAGGATAAGCGACGGAAGACTGCGCCGTCGGCACACCAATTTATAGACTTAAAAACCAACAACAAGAAGTAAAAGCAAAAAGCTTATCCTCCTTTTCTTGCACAAGAATCAGTTTAGGATGGTCATTAGCGGAGGTGGAGCCTCATCTTACAAAAATAGTGTTGCCGTGTGAGGCTTACCCACTCAGCGTCAGACTGCAATTTTGTAGAAGTCGGAGGACGAGCGCAGGTGGGTCACCAGTGGTCCCCATCTTTCTCTCCAATAGCAACGCATGTGGCTAAACGTGTACAACCTTGCAGGTAGAAAGAGCAGTGCGATAATTTAATTAGATGATTAGGTAATTAACGCAACGCCGGAATTAATCGAGACCGTTCCAGTCCTGTTCCTTTCAAGCATAGGCTTCCTCGTGCGGTCCGCCGTAATGACGCGTGTCCATCGTCGTGCCTGTGAACGGACGCTAGTTTGCCACGTGGAACTTCATGTCCGGTCATGCTTCACAGGGAACAGGCGAGGCTTATCCGGGCCCCATAGCTCGAGTATCTCCAACCGTTGCCGCTTAGTATACCATGTACGGAAAGAAGATCTGCCGTCCACACGTCCGTAGAGATCACGGATGGTGACGATCAACGGGAGGAGATCATGACGTATCCGCCTTCGCATCTTCTTCGAGCCCGAAGCACGATGCACCACCCAAACCACGCCCATAAAAATCAAGACATCAATCGCACCGATCGTAACGGTAGGGCCCCCAGCGGGTAACGAAACCCCCACGTAACCGTTCGCTCAAGGAACAAACGGTTCGGGGGAAAGCAACGCTGGCTGCGTGATGAACGAAACCGTTGAGAGACAGTGCGTGAGAAGAAAATGGTGGGGTCCGCGTTAAAGAACTCAGGGAAGCCACACGGCGAGAAGGACTTGGTGGTATCGTCCTTGTCGTGACTTGATGCTGAGTCACACAGCCAAATCGCATCCAACCCTTCGCTCGCTGATCACCTCATCTCTCCACGCTTTTGAAGGAAAGTGATTGTGGCCGGACACCGAATCGGACGCTGCCACGAGCAAACATATTTAGTCCTATATCAAGGAAGAAGTAAGGGAATTAAAAGTTAATAAGCACTAAAGTTAGCTTTACTGGGGTGAGAGTTAATGGGGTGAGTTAATAAACACAAGTTATGCCTAAAGGTATGAGTTTTCATAGAGACTCGACCTTAATGAGGTGAGATAGAAGATATTTTTTATTACTCCTATGGATATAGGAAGAGATGGGTGAGTTGAACTTTGGTTGAGTAGATTCCAAGTTAATTGCAAGCTATTTGATTTAATTGAACTAAAACAAACAATATCAACATTCAACATTAATATAGTGGGGATGGGGTGAGTGATCCTATATTCCAACATAATCTTTTGCAAGAACAAATAATTTCTACCCTCACATTGAAATAAGATATAGTATATGGGACTTTTTCTTATCTCAAGTGAAAGTCTCCTGACCAATCGAACTTATTTTTCTTTTTTTCAGATTCAACAGTACTTAAAAATTTTAATAGGTTAGATCATTTTCATCATATCAGATTAAAAGATCAAAATTGATTAAATCATATTGATATTAGAATATGGGGTTTTTTGAAAAATGTCATAGTAAATCCATAGAAATTCCTATATTAGCATGTTGGCAAAAAAAAAAAAAAAAAACTCTGTTCTCAACTTTCACTATAACAATTAACCTTAGATCGAGGACTCTATTTTCCGGTTTGATCTGAGATCCATAATATCAATGATGATTTTAGAATAATTATGGATTCTTCTCGAACCAAAGAGCGGGAGACGAGTGCTGTTCCCCAAAAAGCTAGGCTGCCATCTCCGAGCCCTCGGGGCGCCTTCTCGCCATGGCGTCCGGCGAATCCCAGAAACATCTCCTCTCTCTGATCCGCAATGTCGCCTCCGAGAAATCCCAAGAAGGTACACTATGGCCGCTCCATGCTTCTCGTGCCTCCACGCTATCTCCGATGCGCCCCTCTCAATCCGCATGTCTTCGACTCAGAGCTTAGGGTCCCCGATCTTAAGAAGCGGCTCCTCGAACTTCAGAACGATCTCAATGTTGCAAACGCCGACCTCGATGGGGCCAAGCGGTCCAGGGAGATGGACGAGCAGGAGCTGAGGGGATCGCAGGTTCAGCTTTCTATGATTGGTGCATCAATCCAAGCGCAAGAGGTTCTGATTACGCGTCCTTTCTAGTTGCCGATTGATCTTGTAAATCCTTTTCTAATAGTAACTATCGTGCGTAGGCGAGGACTTCTCTGCTGCAGGAGGAGATATTGAAGCTCCGTTCTGATCTGGATACACTCAAGGTGAGAATCGCTCTCGTGCTCTCAAATGTTGTTAGATTTTCTTTCGTTATTGTCATTCTTTGTTTTCGAACTTTGACCTTGTTATTTGATCTTCTTAATCGAACTGGCATCGGTGAACAGAGTGAAGTGGGTTTCATGCGGTAATACTAGTTTTTTGTTCTTCTTTTAATCTTCTTGTGTGTGCGATATACTAAAAACTGTATAAACTCAATCACGATCTTTATGTTGATGCAGAGACGAATTTGTTAATAGTATGTGCGAGCTGAACAAGAAAATAAGGTCTATTCCAACGTGCTTTTACTTTCATTTGTTTAGTTTTCTTATTTGTTTACTTGTATATGATCTTTTTGTTCCAAACTCCTTAGCTAAGTTTTGCACTATCACAGGCATTTTTACATTTTGACCTTTGCTCATGCCTTTTCATCTTGGCCACATCAGTTAAATTTTCAGCTACATAAAACAGCTGTATGATTTATCACATTGTTGGTATATTCTTTTACTTCTGTAGAAGATGTAGTTTCCCAAATGTTGTGTGAATTTGCATTGTCAAATCTTAAAAAGAACCATAAAGTCAAAATGTTTAGGACACAATTTCATCCAAGGGAAGATAGGTCAGTAGTCGAACTAGTACAATGCCATATATTTTGAAAACATCAATAAACATGGCTACAAAGTTATCACAAGTCTTAAATGTAGATGAATATATCCGTCTTACTGGATAGCAACCACTCGTAGAACAAACTGTATTATTCCAACCATTTGGAGTCAGCTACATGAATATTTTCTCACCATTGATCCTTGTGTTTGTCTTACCGAAAATTTAGTAAATTAAGAAAAGCAAAAATTAAGAAAAATTCAAATGGGAATTTGTTCTCATATGCTATGCTGATGAGAACAGCCAATATGTACTAGAAATGGTTCTGATTGGTCAAAATCAGCACTGCTGGCTGCAGCATAGACCACTCTGGACCATTTTGCACTTAGGATTGATGAACTGCTGTGGGTTAGCTTTAGTCAGTTAAGCCCACCAAGGTCTGGCAGCTACAATCAGCACTCTGTTTCTTTGGAGTTAGTTCTTGGGGCTATTGGAATTAGATCTGGATAACCACTGGATGATTTTTCAGAACTTGATGCTATATTAATGAATGGTGTTTCTGACAATTTTTTATTCTGGAGATAGATTCCCTCTTCTTTCTTGATGCACTTGCTATTTTACAAAATTCTGATTCTAAGTATAAAATTATGCTGATTGTAACTTCAGGTATCTGTTCCGAAAAATTCCTACTATGATAGAGTTCCCTTGTGCCTTTTTATCTCAACTATAGTTTATTCACAGACCATCTTCTTTTTCTGCAATATTTTATTTCAGTACTTGTGCCTTTTTATCTCAAGTATAGTTTATTCCAGTACATACAGATATGACAAAAAGGAAGATGAGCACGAACTTTCAAGCCTGATTTACAAAATAAGTGTTAATATAGTTGAATTAATCCAGTTTATGCAACACCAAAGTCCAAAGTCCAAAGTTCTTCTATATATTGTCGGTATCCTTCAGATTTGTTTTTCCTATTGGATGTAATCCTACAAAGGACCTAATCAATTTTCTGTAAGCTTTCCTATATTATTCCTCTGGTCCATTTACCAATGTTCAAGTACTTGGAACCTATTCTGTAGTGTCAAATATCTTGATAAATCCAAGAGAGTACAATTTGTTATTGAGGGTGTGCAAAAACCACATTGTGATGATGCTTTGCAATGATATGTGTCCTGTGATCTGGAAGCTTAAATAGGACAATAATTTCAGTCTTGGAGTAAAGCAACAATGTAGCAATAACAAAGCCAGCTTGTGTATATTTTATTGAATGCAGATAATGGAGTTAAGCAACAATGTAGCAATGACAAAGCCAACTTGTGTGTATTT